GTCATTCTTCGAACTGCTCAAGAAGATCCTTAATACTAAGAGCAGCCGAGGAAGAAGAAGGACAGTCCACAGACGACGGCAAGTTGTCAACACTTGACAAGGAGTCTCTCATCGAGATGGAATGCTTTATCTACTCGCGCAAGGATGCTACCGGTACCACCAAACTGGAACTGGGTGTGCTGGAAGAAAGCGTCCTCCAACCAGTATGTGCATGGACCACGGAAGAAGCGTTTGATGATTACATTGAGTTTGTAGTGGATGAGGAAGATCGATATTCCGTAAAGCTGGAAGATGTGACTGTGCATTCCTTGATCCCCGCCGATGATCTCTCCTACGGGAGTCGACAAGTCGGTGGAGGCAAGGGACCTGGAAACCCTCACGGAGAAGAAAGTGAACTGTTGTACTACATTCGCAAAGAGGCATTGGAGGGGATTGAAGTGACGGTCAAACCAGAACTCGAAATCACATGGTAGTGGTCTTTTGTAGTATTCTATACGGTATTTGGAAACGAAAAGATAGTGATAGAGAGAATGAATGAATGAATAGGAGAAGCCAACAATTCGGTATGTACAAAGTGGATTTGGTTGAGTTTTAAGATCGAGGCTTCGGTATGGTAATATAACTTTGAAAAGCAACTAAAAGAGTATATATTTATTACATCATACCGGCAAGCAATTCATCGCCAAGTTCAGGTGGAGGTCTTCTAAAGAGTACGGTAGGTCCAGGATGGTTCCACTGGTGTTGGTCCATGCCTACTTGCTAGTGGGTACTTCCTCTGGATCGTAGCATTGGTCCTGGTGTTGATCCGAGAGTCGCGTCTGGAGTGGGGACAGCCTACAGTGCTGGTGGTGTTGATGAAGGTGTGCCGTAGGGCCTGGCCTGAATGTGTGACTGCCAAAAGTAATGGTGATGATTCAGGAGTGGGGGCGAGTAGGGATTGTCAAACACTCTGGTCTGGAGCCTGGTGTTGATACAGGATTGGAAGAATAGACAAACAACCTGTTGTGGGTCCAGGAGAAGGTCCGGTCTGCGAGAGGGGCATGGAGTAGAGATAACCCAAAAGCTCTGGTGACCAATGCCCCAGGTTGGGCCTGGCTTTGGGAAGAGAAGAAAAGATCCAATGTTGGTTCGGGGTGGGGCCAGGAGTGGAGCTTGGTTAGGTCTACATGACATTGTAGCAGGGGACCAAAACGTATTAGTAGAGGTACCGATAGACTCACAGTGCTGATACTCAGACTGTAGAGAGTGATGGAGTTGGCAATTTGGGGGAGTGTGCTGGTACCGGTACTACTATTAATTTTAGTGACCGTAATCTCGTTGTGTTTGCATGATTGACCGTCAAAAGTCATTCTCGGGATCACCATCGTAGAACCTCTGCGCAACGATGGGATTTAACGTCGCCAAGCTTGGAATTAACAATTTGGGAACTTTAAATCAATTCTCAACGAGTTCCGTTCTCTACGATTTAGAGGTGTACCATTTGCAGTCATTTTCCTATTCCGAAGGCTTCACCTGACATACTGCCTTCGCTGCAACGGCTACGACGTCTACAACTCTACAACCACAGCTACAACCACCATCATTTATTTTCAAGATCCAACGTCCTCTCACACTCTCACAACACGCTGTTCAGCTCATAAAGTGTACGACCAACTACAGCGAATTGAATCTCACAAACAATACTAGCCAGTATCCATAGCTACATCTCAAATGCATGCCGTCAAAGCGTCAACGATGAGCAAGGGTCCCGATAGCTCAGACTACTACAGTTGGGATCTCAACCTAATGCCAAAAGAGACTGACTCGCGACCTGACTACCACCAATGGGATCAAAGCGGACAGTCCAAGGTGAAGAAAAGCCCCGTAAAGAAGAGCCCCATTCGCCGTACCAAGTCAGATTGCTCGGATCGTTATACCATGGCTACTGCTGGCAAAAGAGGCGGAAAGCGGCCCTCCAAAGAAGCCGAGGATATTCTGCGACGGGAAGAGGAAAGCGAGGAAGAAGAGTCTTCTGATGAAGAGGAGGAGGAAGAAGAAGAAGACGAGAAGACTATGGGGTTCAATTGGAAAACGAAGAAGCGAATGTTGCTTCGAAGTCGTTCCGATCTCACCGGCTTCCAGTCCAACACCGTGCGCAAGAGCAAGAAGCAAGAAGTTCGTCGCAAGAGTCGACTACCCCCAAAGAGAACAGTGAGCTTTTCATCTGCCGAGCCGGCTTTCGTGACACTTCCACCCTTGAGAGAGGAAGACAAGCCTTTGATGTTTTGGACGAAGGCCGAAGTGCAGTCGTTTAGATACGACCGCGACGAAGAAAAGGCCGAGAAAGAGCGACAAAGGCGTAATTCGCAGTTTGCAAACAATACTGCCGGCATGGATTCTCTTTGGGGGTCGTCGTCCAAACCCAAGAAGAAACCAGACAAGAGCGCTGAAGAGGAGGCGAGAAAGGCCAGGGAAGCCAAGGAAGAGGCCGACATGCAGAGCGTCATGGATTCGCTTGCCTTGGCCATGGCACAAGCCCAAATGGTTACAGGATATTGAGAAACAGGAAAGGCAGCAAGGTACACACACACACCGCCATGTGGATGTGGTCAACTAAGTCTGTTATGATTGGAGGCGTCAACCTCATGACGCCCCGCAAGAAAGTACGAGTACGCACCGAGGGAACAATGCATTCAGAGAATTAGATCTATTGATATATATATTATGATAAACACAAAGCACACTACTAGAAGAATATTATTATGAATAGCACTTGCTAGAAAGGCAGTTCATTTGATGAGACAGGTGCTGACCATAACACGGCAGGGAAAAGAGCAGCATTCCCATATGCTTCTGGCAAGATCTTGCCCATGCATTGATGCAGCAAAGCTAGCCAGCAACTCCAAACAGGTAGAAAGAGGGCAATGGATTCTATTAGGTTTTAGGAGTGTGTATTTGAAGTTGGTCAGCATTGAGAGCAAGAAGAGGTTTGAACTATGCCTATCTATGGTGTGTTTTATTAAGTGGTTCCAGAAAGTGCAGAGATTGTGCATCATGCTCTTGACCAGTTTGGTGGGTGCTCCCTTCGTGCTAAAGATAAAGTGCACAATGCTCTTATGATACCGGTTCAGTAGCGCTGCAACGTTGCGCTACAGACTGCTTCTGCCGTCTTCGTTTCTTCCTGATAAGTGCTCTCTTATGGGTATCCCCAAACGTTAGTACCGTACAAATGTATTGGGTATCAACTACAGTAAACAGTAGCTACAAGTAAAGACCACCAGAATCTGCAGTTTCTCCTTGACCATTGCCAACACTGTGGCTGTTCCCCTCTTCAGTTGTCGTTTGTGATGATGGTGCTGCCGCTGATGCCAAGGCTTCTTCATTCAACTCAATAATGATTTTTTCAATGTCATCTTCCAAATCCACATTGCTACCACGCGCTTGTAGCTCTCTCACCAATGAGGCGGCAAGGTGTCCTTGTCGTCGTAAGGTCAATCTGTTTTCCGCTACGGCCTCTAGAAAATCGGGATCATTTGGGTCTGTCTGCAAGGCTTCTTCGAGCTCACTATTGGATCGGAGTAGTGCTCTCATGGACGATGTGACTTGACACAGACGAGCTTCCAACAACTGAGCGTTGCCCCCACATTCCAAGACTTCTTTCCGCGCATTTTCCGTGGCGGACAACCGAGTCTTGGGTGGAGCTGGAAGGATCAAAGATCCCGCTTCTTCTCGTCGTGTGGCGAATTGCATTATCTTCAAATGATGTTTGCTCTTTCTAAGTATCTATCTATCTCCCTTCTCTATCAATACAATCTCTACTTGTGGATGCTTTATCTGGACACGATGCTACCGCTGTTTGTTTTGTGGTGGGCTGCGATCGAAATTCTATTGAGGATAGTGGGGTCGGAAAAGGAACATTCGGTGGTGTTCTTAGAAATACTGTGCGACACGATTTTGAGTCACGATCTGTAGTCCCGTTGATTGCAACACGTACATCAGTTCAGTACGGCGTGCGGTGGCGCGCTGTCTATCTCACTATCTTGTGGTTGACCAACGTCAGTGTCGAAAGATCCGCCGATCTTTTGATGCAAGAACAGCAACAGGTATCTCATCATGGTCGAGGTATTAGGGTTGCAGCTTCCGATGGAAAGGATACGGTGATGTGAGCTAAAGTAACTGTTCTTGTACCCTCATCCATTCTGATTCAGTCCTCACCTGCATCCTCATCAGGGCAAGCAACACAAGGGAATCCAATCGAATCAAATCCTCGACTTCCTATCCAGCTAGCTAGTTAGTTGAGATACCCCTGGCTCCTTATCTTCGTGAGTGCTATAGAGTCGAGTCACCATGCGATTCGGCATACATGCCCTGACCCTATTGGCCTTGGCCCCAGTGGGTCAACATGCCTTCCACAACCCAGCCATCCTGACGAGGCCACCATCTCTTCAAAACAAGCATCATGTGGACTTCCACAGCCGGCGTCATCCCATTCTGTATGCTGATGACATGGACGATGTAGCTCAAGAAACTGCCGAGGCCTTGAAAGCCGCTGATAAGGCTCTGAAGGAAAGTGCTGCTCAAAAAGCCCGGGCTCGGGAAGCAGCACAGCTGAACAAAGAGGCCATTGCGAGTGCATTGGGTGGAGCTGCCATTGGAACCGTTCTTGGAGGAGTCGCTCTTATTACAGTCCCTGATCTGGCCGATTCCGTGCCTGCAGTTGTCCCTCCTTTGGTTCTCGCTGCCTCCCTGGGTGGAGCATCTTATGCTGGAGCCACCCAAGAAGGAAAAGTGGGTAAAATTATCAGAAATGTAGTTGGACGAAGCACCATCGCTGCTGGAGCTAATGCCAAAAATGCGGCCGTTGCTGCTGGGGAAAATGCCAAACAAGCTGCCATCCAAGCTGTGGACGATGCAGTCGATGAAGTCAAAGCTGTCCCTTCAAAGATTGCTGATGCTGCCAAGAAAAAGGCTGATGAAACCGTAGAGGAAATCAAAGCTGTTCCCGGAAAGCTTGCTGATGCCGCTGTGGAGGTCGCCGAGGATATTGTAGATGAAGTCAAGGCAACTCCTGGACGTGTGGCAGAGTCGGCCAAGGTTGCTGCAACAAAAGCTGTAGATGATGCGCAGAAAAAGGTCCAGGCAACTGTGGAAGAAATTAAAGCGTACCCTGGCAAAAAGCTTAGTGAAATGGAGCAGTATGTTGAAAATGTTCTCGAGGGCAACTCTTTGAACGTTCGACTGGAGGTCCCTGAACCACCCAAGTCGCCACCCCCGCCCATGATGGTCAAGCCATCTGAGGATGCACCCCCCAAGCCCCCACAAATCCCCAAAACACCACCCCCATTAAAGGCTGTTGTACCACCACCAAAGCAAGATTCAGGACCAGCGTTCTCGTTGCCCAAGGTGGAAATACCCAAAGTGGAACTACCAAAGGTTGACATTCCGAAGCCAAAGCCACCACCAGCCAAACCAAAGGCGCCTCCGTCCCCACCCAAGCCAGCTTCTGATGCTCTACCCAAGTTTGAGCTTCCAAAAGTGGAGATTCCAAAGATAGAACTTCCGGCTCCACCCAAAGCAGACCCTTTGGAAGCTAAGCGCAGGGCTGAAGAAGCCAAGAAAGCTCAGGCCGCCAAGCAGCGTGCTGTCGCTGCAGCAGCTGAAGCCAAGCGAAAGGCTGACGAAAAGAAGCAAGCTGAAGCTGAACAGAAGAAAAAGGAGCTCGAACAACAACGACGCCAAGCAGAAGAGGCTCGCATGGCTGCTGCCGAAGAAAAACGCAAGGAGCTTGAGGCCAAGAAAGCAGAGGCAGCAGCTGCTGCTGAACAAAAGCGTCAAGAATTGGAGGCCAAGAAGGCAGAGGCAGCAGCTGCTGCGCTGAAGCCAAGAAACAGGAAGCCGCTGCGGCAGCTGAAGCCAAGAAACAACAGCTGGAGGCCAAGAAGTCTGATGCAGGTGCTGTCGCTGAAGCAAGGAATCAAGCTGCCGAACAAAAGCGACAAGAATTGGAGGCCAAGAAGGCAGAGGCAGCTGCTGCGGCTGAAGCCAAGAAACAAGAAGCTGCTGCTGCTGCTGAAGCAAGGAAACAAGCTGCCGAACAAAAGCGTCAAGATCTGGAGGCCAAGAAAGCAGAGGCAGCTGCTGCGGCTGAAGCCAAGAAACAAGAAGCTGCTGCTGCCGCTGAAGCAAGGAAACAAGCTGCCGAACAAAAGCGCCAAGAGCTGGAGGCCAAGAAAGCAGAGGCAGCTGCTGCCGCTGAAGCCAAGCGACAGGAAGCCGCTGCGGCGGCTGAAGCCAAGAAAGCAGAAGCTGCTGCCGCGGCTGAAGCAAGGAAACAAGCTGCCGAGCAAAAGCGCCAAGAGCTTGAGGCCAAGAAAGCAGAGGCGGCTGCTGCCGCTGAAGCCAAACGAGCGGCTGCTGCAGAAGCCGCTGAAGCTCGCCGCAAGGAACAAGAGGAGAAGAGAGCTGCTGCCGCTGCAGCTGCACAAGCCCGCAAGGAAGAGGCCGAACAAAAGCGCAAAGAGCTTGCCGAGAAGAAGGCTGCTGAAGCCGAGGCGAGACGAAAGGAATTGGAGCGTAAAAAGGCTGCTGCAGCTGCCAAACCTCGCCCCAGCTTTGGATTGATGCCCCCCGCTTCAGCGCCCAAACCCGCAGCTGCTGCACCGAAAAAGGCTGCCCCAAAGAAGCCGACTCCGAAGGCGCCTCGTGGCGTTCCGACGATCGTTGCATGGAAGCTGCAACGCAATGGTAAGACATATGGTTTCATGCCGTGTTCTGTTTGCACTGTACCCAACATATTTCTCGTTGCCTTCAGGCGGAATCTCTGGTCGCGTGTACGGATCACCTAACTTTAGTGCTGGCGAACGCGTTGACACATCCGAAATTGTTTCTGGAACAATTGACAACGGGAAGGTTGTCAAAACTAGTTCTGGAAGTCGATACTTCTTGAGCGACGACGAAGCTCAGTTCAAGCAAGCTGGTGGCAAGGCACCGGTGAAAAGCGTGCAATCGGCAAGACCAAGGTCAACGATCACTATCACCCGCGATGCAAAGGCAGCAGCAGCCAAGGCTGCCGAGAAAGCAGTGGAAGATAAGGCAGCGCCGCGGGCCACGTTCTCTCTTTTTGGTATCTTCGGAGACAACAAAGAACGTCCCGAAGTGGAGGAAACGAAGAAGGTACCAGCCAAGAAACCAGCACCGAAAGCTGCGACTGAGCCACGTCCCAGCTTCACCCTGTTCACGCCTGGAGCCGCTCCGAAGGCTGCTCCGAAGCCCGCAGCTAAGAAGCCAGCCCCAAAACCAGCCACACCACCTCGTCCAAGTTTCTCCCTGTTCTCACCTGGAGCAGCACCAAAGGCTGCTCCTAAGCCTGCAGCAAAGAAACCAGCACCAAAACCAGCTACAGCGCCACGCCCAAGTTTCTCCCTGTTTGGACCCGGGGCCGCACCGAAGGCTGCTCCGAAACCCGTAGCAAAGAAACCGGCACCAAAGCCTGCTACAGCGCCACGCCCTAGTTTCTCATTGTTTTCGCCCGGAGCTGCACCAAAGGCAGCGCCAGCTAAGAAACCTGCCCCCAAACCAGCTACCGCACCACGCCCCAGCTTCTCTCTGTTTTCGCCTGGAGCTGCACCCAAGACAGCACCTGCGCCAAAACCAGCACCCAAGAAAGCAGCAGCAAAGGCCAAGCCAGCACCCAAACCCAAGCCCGCTCCAAAACCGAAGACTGCCCCTCGTGGAGTTCCGACGATTTCGAGGTGGAGGCTGAACCGTGATGGAAGTATTTCAGGTTCTATCAGCGGATCAAGCAACTTCCGAGACGGTGAGCGAGTTACAACCAGTCCAATCGCCCAGGGGAAGATTGATTCGGGGGAGGTCATTTCAACTGGCAGTGGATCGAAATATTTCTTGGCATAGACACATGACAATCCAATGATGCACTGCATGCAACATGGATTAGAGACATGCCGCCAACTGCAAACTCGTGAGAGTCTTTTTCATGAACCATTCAGCTAGACTAACGAGACCTCTAAACGAGCCAATCTTACTAGAGACAATACATGTACTTCCCGGTTTTTATTGGTGCTGTGCCAGTTCGAAACACAAGCCATGACTTTTAAAATGGAAATGTGAACGGAAATGTAATGTGGAAGCATTCATGGACACCAGGCACCAGCAGTCGGCATCGCCATTATTTCCGCAACAGCCAGTTATTTACTGTTTGCTGCCGCCCCTCTTGTCACGTTTCCTTCCTGGATGGCGACGTTTGTGTGAAGAAAGTGCGCCGCCTTGGCGGACGCTTCCACTTTGACGGAGGACCTCTCCAACATTTCAGTCTCGTACGTTTCCAAGAGCTTTTCCAAGATTGCAGCCTCACAGTCTAGTGACGTATCGTTGCTTAAAGTAGTTTCATGTTGTGTTGTGTTCTTGTTGTTGTCGTTGTTGTTGAAGTCCTTGAATATTGTTCTTGCCAGAAACAGAGCATCCAACAGGGCCTGGTTCGCACCCTGACCCTTGAAGGGGCTCATGGGATGAGCCGCATCGCCTAGTAAAGTGACACGTCGCAATCTCGATGACGATGATGACAATGTTGTCGTCAAGTGCTGTTTGGTCAGTACATCTCTGTCATAGACTGGGTATCCGGACACCAAGGTTGCTGGTGTTTGTTTCAGAATGGGAATAATGGGAGTGTGCCAAGCATGACACATTTTGAGGGATTCGTCTTTGAGAGCCTGTGGTCCTCGTTGGCTCAGTGCCATGGCAGCTTGTTCGTCCATCGGAAACGACAATTGCCACATGTACTCTTTCTGTGAGTATGGCATCATGTAGATTCGCGTGCTGCCATCCGCTGTCTGAAAGACTGTTTCACCATCCAATAGGGGCGATTGCAAGTCTTGGACTTGATTGTGTGTCAGAGGACATATTCCCAGAATGACAATGCATCCCAAGTAGCGCAGTGGCGACTGCTCTTCGCCCAGCCCTTGCCTCCGAACAGAACTTCGAATGCCGTCTGCTCCCACCAGCAAGGATGCACTCGTCTGTTTGATTGTCGGTTTGGCTTTTTCTGAATGTGTATTGTCGTTGTTGGCAACTTCAATTGTCAAGTCTACTCTATCCTCCTGTTCCGAAAACTCGACCAATCGATGCCCCCATTGGACTTGCGTGGGTCCTCCTAACGCTTGTAATAACTCGTAACGAAGGGCTTGTCGTGCTATATGAACATTTTGTCGTTTGTTGTTGTTGCTGTTGTTCTTCTTTTTGTCATTTTGTTCTTGCTTTTTATTATTCCCAATCCATTTTCGTAATCCCCATTCGCCCACCACGGTGCCATCTGGTTTGTGGACCATGTGTTTGGTCGAGACAATGCCATCTTGGAGCGGCACGGGAATCCCCAATGCTTTCAATGCCCGCGATGCCTGTTGCATGGTGAGTCCATAACCCTGCGATCGTTCAAAAAAGTTGGCATCTCGCTCGTATACCGTAAAAGGAATGCCCCGATGCCGACACGCCACGGCCAACGCCAAGCCACCCAAACCGCCACCCACAATTCCAACATGGGGATAATTGTTGTTGTTGTTACTTGTATTGTTGGTGGTGATTTCGTCGTCGGTGGCAGCCACCACCAGGCCCGAGCCACCACATGGTTTGCAACCATCGATGCGGGGTGGTGGCAGATTCTTGTTCTTCTTGGCATCATTGGAAGATTGCTTGTATCGTTTTCGAGCCTTTCTGGAAGGCGCTTGAACCAGCTTGCCTTCTCCACGGCATTTTGAACAAACGGTGAGAATGGGGCGATCTGGCAATGACGTGAATGCAAGATGGGAGGGATCTGTGGAAGTGGTGGTCGATGATGCCATTCTCATCAATACTCGAGGACGAGTGCCAGCAGTAGTCCTTCTCAAGGGGGAAGAATGGAATACCTTGGCCAGAAAAGCAGCATAGACGCTCTGACAGCGATGAGATATTCCCAGGCAAGATAAGAGCAGGATCTTCTTCATGTAAAGATGATAAAAGCAAGGAAACGGCAACACCAAAAGGGTGTGGTGCCAATGCGTGGGTGCTGATTCTCAGCGATATTAAGCCAGCTCAGGTGTTAAAAATTTAGAGCCCACCTTTTCGCACAAAGTCGAGCTGTTGACGGTCATCTCTGCTTGGTCAAAGCTGGCTACTAGCTAGCTAAAATAAGAAAATTCGAGAGGGATTTTAGAATGGTTTCAGGATGAAGCAACAGCTATCTATACCGTATAGATGCCTCGACCTTGGCAAACCTACAGCTTTGGCCACTCTTGACTTGCTTGCTTATTGTTAGTTATTATTATGACCAATAGTAAACTGTTTAATGCTTACGACGTCCAGTAGAGCATGTGTGCTGTCCACGAACTCGGATTCCCCACCAGTGTCTCAAACCACGGTGAGCACGGATCTTCTTCATGCGTTCGATATCATCACGGAGCTTGGCGGCAATGCTCTGTGCAAAGATTTGGGAGTACTTTCCCGTCTTGTAATCCTTTTGTCGATTCAAGAACCAAAGGGGGATCTTGAACTGACGAGGGTTTTGGATGACAGCCACAACCTTTTCAATCTCATCGGCAGTCAATTCTCCAGCACGCTTGTTGACATCAATCTCGGCCTTTTTGCAGATCAAGTCCGTGAAACGACGTCCCAAACCGTTAATCTTGGTCAGAGCAAACACAACATTGCGCTTTCCTTCCACATTGGTATTGAGAATACGCAAAATGTGCTGGAATTCGGGTCCTTGCATCAACGAGGAGGACCTGTAATGTGGGTATCAGGGGGTGGCAAACACAGAGGGGGTCAGAAGAGGCAAGAAAGGACAGCCACCGCCATGCCGGTACTTGACACTAGCACAGGCACACAGATATCCTTCAATACTCTCTCTTCTGCTACTCACATGGTGGAAATTCGATTTGATTGAACAGCTACAACAAGACAGCGGCGGCTTGCACAGAAGAAGCGACAATGGTGATCGACGATCGACAACGTCCTGTTGGTTGGTTGATAAAGTTGGTTGTTGCCAACCTGTTCTTGTGGCGTTCAGGTTACCGCTGTTACTAAAACTTGGAATGAGAGACCACGGATGACGACCAGACAGACAGAAGAGTGGCTCAGTGGACTTTGAACCCAAACCTCAGTGGACTTGTTTCGAAACCCGGGGCACTGAAGTCACTCACGGGAGTGACGTTAAACACGCGGGATAAGGTTGACACTTGCTTTGGCGAATCGAATCTGGATTGCCTTCTCGTTGAAAGGAGCCTTTGCTTGTTCTGAATTACAATCAAGAAAGTAGTGCTGTTGGTGTATCCTTTCCATTCCTAGCTACTATCTGTAATGTTGTGTTGACGAAAGATGTTGGTGTCACCGGGTTCAGCACATGGAAGAAGAAACAGAATCGTCAACGATAATAGTGTCGCTGGGGGCACCGTGGAGCAACGAAAGAGGTCGGCGGACGTCCACGATGTCAACCGTGCGCTTCCACGGCAGCATTCAGAATCCTTTCACACTACAGCATCACGGGCCGACGAGTGCTCGGATGGACTCTCCACAATGAGCGGCCAGATGTCCTCCACAAGGCAGCTGTTTGCACACAAAACCAAAAGTATTATGCCAATCCCAGACACTCGACCTGCACTGCTTCCCGATCGACCCGAAGCCTTCACGGCATGCTCTTGGTGGTTGGTGGATCGAGAGCATGAACCACCGTTGACACAGGGAGCCACGGCATTGAGCAACAAGTTTATCGAACAGTATCCAGGATGGGACCCCAAGAATGTTCGACGAATTCTCAAGGCTTACAAACAATATTTGCAATTGGTAGTTCAGACACAAGATTGGAGAGGCGCCAAGTTGTGTCCACCAAAACTGGTGCAAAGGATTTGGAGCATTCATCGACAGGATGTTGTTTCCTACTGTCAGGACTGTATGTTGCTCTGTGGTGTCGTGGTGGGTAATAACCCGGATGACAATGAAAGATCTTCTACTACACAACAGAGTCAACGGAAACAAAGACAAGACTTTACGTTGCAGACGCTGAAAGAAAAATATGGATCCGACTATGATGAGCATATTTGGAATTTCCACGATGACACTGCTACTACTGATCATGGATTGGTGGAGGGAAATGCCGACCAGCAGCACCGTCAGGCCAGTTCAGGGGGGAACAACAGCGAAACTGGCGCACAACAAATGGCATGTGATGTTGCCGTCAAGGACGGTGGGGGCAAACAGCACACAAACCGACAACAACAATTGCAGCAGGAGGAAGATACTGATGACGAGGACGACGACGATGATGATGAGGAAAGCAAAAGTTCCAGTCTGGCTTACAGCATTGAGGCTGAAAGAAGAAAGAGGTTGGCTGTCTATTCTCTGAACATTTGCGTGTCCCCGGGAATGGAGGAGGATCAACGCCCCCGTACCTGGTTCAAAGTGCGACCGTACACCAAGATGAAGAAGGTGTTTGAAAATATACCTTATGCAAAGTTTGGGGTGCCACAAGAAAAGGCGCAGTTGTTTATTCGGTCTCGCCACAACGAAGGGCAAATTCAACAATCACAAACTATGCTCGATTTGCAACTGCAGGAAGGAGATATAATTGACCTGGTCCCCCAGAAAGACACTCATGACGGAGAAGAAAAGTGGACAGGTGAACACAACAAGGTTGATGGCGAGAAACATGAAAACGACAAACGTAAAGCCAGTCTCGCCAGCAACGACGAGAAACAGCAACTTCCGCCTACTAGTATGCAACAGAAACACAAGGCAGCACAACAGTCAGACTCTTCGGTCAACAGTGACAACCAACAAGATGTCGCAGTAGCAGGCAAGGTGGCAGGATCCCGCCGTCAGATCGACAAAACAACTGCAGACAAGATGACTGATAGAGCAGATGAAGTTGCCACGCATCAGTTGAAGCCGACAAAGCATGTCTCCGAAGAAGAGGGTGGCCAGAAGAATGGTCAAGCTGCCTCGAGGGATAGAGATAAGGACCAAAATATTGCCACCAATAATGGATGCAACGAGCTGGGAAAAGGTGATAGTGATGTGGATGTGGTGGCGGTCGTGGCTAACAATTCAGAAGGGGCGAAGGGAACGGATGCCAGAGAACTGGGGCAGACAGAAAGCAGGGAGAAAACAAAACGATCGTCACTGCGCTTGAGTGGAAAGGCCGATCACACTACGAAACCGGAAAGTCTTGTCAGCAACTTGGAACATGCCAGAGAGTATAGTCGTGCCGACACTGGGGAGACGACTAAACTGAATGACCAAAACGTAGTCGTCAGAAGAGTAAAGAAAGCTCATCCATCCAAGCCACAATCGCAGCGTCAACCAACGACGACGACGACGACGACAGAAATCGAAAAGCCTCCAAGCCTCGTCGATCAGGTTGAGGACTGCTCTGCTATGAACAACGTTGCTGATGGTGGACAAGTCTCAGCAACGGGCGCCAAAGACAGGGAAGAAAAAGCTATGAAAGCTTTTGTGAAGAAGAATGACAGCCAGTCACCAAAGAAAGGACCCAAGAAAGCATCAATGAAAGGACCTAAGGAGCGAGCACAGCAGGAACCTGGAACGAATGAACCAACACACGCTTCGAAGCGAGCGCAACAGGAACCTGGAAGGAATGAGCTAACTAAGAAAGCATCGAACAAAGGACCAAAGACAGCATCAAAGAGAGGACCCAAGAAGCGAGCACAGCAGGAACCTGGAACGAATGAACCAACACACGCTTCGAAGCGAGCGCAGCAGGAACATCGAAGGAATGAACAAACACGCGCTTCTAAGCGAGCGCAACAGGCACATGGAAGGAATGAACCAAAACGCGCTTCTAAGAGAATGAGGAAGGGATCAATAGACAGGTATTCACCACCGTAGCAGCACGACATGTTGGTGTATCATATCGTGTTTTCGATTTATTGGTGATACCACTATGTACCGTAAAAGTATATCCCAATAGACCGTTGTTATTCTGTTCTTTGCGCTACTATGCTTAGCTTTGGCAGGCATAACGACACCCCGTGAGTCTCGGGTCAGTCTCGCTACCGGTAGATTTGTATTGTCGTGAGACATGAGTCCGAAACAGCACGGTCTTAATTCCCATCCTACCGGTAGCTGTCAGCCTCGTACAGAGATCCCTTTTTGAAGCAACTATTAGATTCGATTCCTAAGAGACTATGTTGAGTGTTCTTTTTGTTTATTGTTATGAATACTAATACTACATGTCAAGTTGTGAACTGACCACCCGGCTAAGCCTTTTGGGCATTGCCGCGGCTCTTCTTGATCTTCCGCCTCAGCTCTCGTGATCTGCTCTTGCCGCTCAAACCTCCCAGTGACCGGTTGCTGCCTGACTTCTTCAAGCCCAGCGATCGGTTACTGCCTGCCTTCTTCATGACTCCTTCTGTGGGCTGCTCCTTGTCGCTGGCCTCTTCTTCACCAATGGAATCCAGTGTCGGTTTGCTACTGGCTGATTCAACGGGGGGACCCATCAACATGGAATCCAAGTCCCCCCAACTGGAGCGCCGATCCTTGGGGTCGTTATAACGCGTTGCATCAGTGCTGGTCCTGATGTCGGCTTCTGGTACTTGATCTTCGGCACCAGCTGTGCGGAAGCTCTTGGCCAACAATGACTCGTCCATTCCTCCCCAGCTGAAGCGCTTGAGGAAATCGTTATCGTTGGTGATGGCAGCCATGGTTTGTGGGTGTTCGTTGTTTGTTGTTTGTTATTGTTTCTTTGGAGATTCTTTGCTTCTAAAGATTGTGACGGGATAATCGAGGATGTTTTGTGGGTTGTGTGATCAGTGAAAGCTAAAAAGGAGCAAAATTGCTCACACAAAGATTGTTGGACCCGCACGCTGATTTCAGACACACTAAACTATTATCAATACTAGTACCGGTAGCATGCATATGGGCACAGAGAACACAGCAGGAATAAAAACTGATGAGTACTCCGGGTACAGCTGTACAGTATTTAAGTACAGCCGTAAAGTTCTTAATTAAGTTCGTTTGTTCCTTTTATCGACTGAGCTTTCTAATGTACAGGTATTCAGTAGTACAATAATTATATATCTTATATCTTTGGACTCTTATTCCGATCAATCGAACATTATTAAAATTTCGAACCAAAGCAAAGAAAAGGGCACACAGCATACCGGTACAGAAGAAACCAAACAAAATTATTGCCCTGCTACACGTACCAGTACATGTATGTAGTAATGGTCCAAGACCCCATGGTTCCTTTTTATAAGAACACAATGACTTTTCTACCGTGACGGTGACCTAGTGAACTCCTCCCCATACCGCACGGTACTTAAGTACCGTAGCTACCGTCTACTAGCCGTAGCCACATGTACACATGTACAGAAAACGTATGTGCGGTAGGAAGACAGTTTTGGGACTACTATTGCTTGAATTAAATTACAGTTTCTATTTTGGCGATCCTTCGGAACAAAGCCCAACAGAACGTGGTATCCCTGGACCGTCCGACGGTTTTCACTCAGGATTTAAAAAAACTTGAAATTCCCACGACTGATGACACTTTAAAACATGCCCTTAAATCTTCAACATGCCCTTAAACATGCCCTTAAATAAACATGCCCTTAAAACATGCCCCTAATGCCTCAAAATATGCCCTTAAGCCTTCATTGAAACGCCATAGAACATGCCCTTATCACGAATGAACATGCCCTTAAATAAACATGCCCTTAAAACATTCCCTTAAATCCGTAACATTCCCTTAAACATGCCCTTAAAATAAAACATGCCCTTTAACATGCCCTTAGTGGGAACCAGTTGTGGCAGGTTTTTAAAGCCTGAGCGAAAACCGTCGGACGGTCCTGTATCCCTGTTTTTCTGGATCTTGCCCTAATCATCGCCGATCTTGGCCAATCTCGGCTCTTGGTCTTCTGGATCCGTGCCGATCTCACCCAGTCTCCCAGAAGATGGCGATCTCGGTTCCCATAGCAGAGATCCGAGACCCAAGATCCGAGATCAAAGTCAACAAGGAACGATTGCTCCTACCTACCGGCATCTCTGTTGCTGTCGATCCCTCACTGTCATTGTCACCTGCTCGAAGCCGTCATTGTGGATTTCGTCGGCCATTGTCGATTGTCGAGGAGAGAAGGAAAGAAAAGGGCATACGGTAGTTTCGTTGGCTGAATTTATGGAGGCAACTGGCTTGAAGCGCAGAGGATCCTTTGTTTCGTGCGTCGAGTCGGAGAGGCTTCGGCTGTTGGTTCTCTCTTAACCTTGGGCTTGACAACAACCAGTAGACTAGGAACAAGTTGCTAACGTGGGGAAATACTACTTGAATAGAGGGATCTTGTAGAGGTAGCTACCACCCGACGAGATCAACCGTAACTATTCAAGACGAGTGCAAGGTAAACTGCAAAGTTCGCTTTTCTTAGTAATTCATAATCGTGTTGTGAGCTTTGATTGATGCGATCAGTAAAGCTAGTTGTAGCGTGTTGGATCAATACATCGTGGTAGTTGATACGGAAGTCAACGTGGTATCTGCGGGAAACGGTTCGTGGCAGGATGCTTTACTCCTGTCGAATACTCCATTTTACCGTGTCCTTTGGTTTCGTTGAGAACGTGTTCTTGCCAGCGTTCTCTGTTCCATCGTGTTGACTCATAAAAATGATCAATCTACTCACGGTACTCTGAGTCGTGGAGGACTGTAACGCTTTCATCCCTCAGTGGCGACTGTCGACTCTGAGTGTTTCTTACGCAATCCTTGGTATCTCCTGCCAAAACAGCAGTGCATTAAGCATAGGCCATACGATGTATAGTCCCAGTGTTTGCTGAGGATTATGCAGGGTTAGTAGATCCAGGGATATGATGAAATCTCAAGATACTTGCAGCAACGGCTTCCCTAGTACGGTGGTAGGAAAGCGCATTGTGTCTTTTGAGAATCTTTGAGTGTGGCATCGAGCGGTGTTGACTACCGTCTCGTTGTCTCCGAACATCATGGTCGGGTGTCGACCAGTACTCCTAGGTACTGAACGTGCTCCGTAGGTCATGATCTGTTCAGTGGCGGTACGGGCTGCAACATACCCAGATCCGAACGTTGCGGTCTCGACTGTTGACTGTAGCTTGCTGAACAGTCGATGGGAGTCTTGTTCGCTAGGTGTAGGACTCCGGTAACTTACCGGCCACTGATGAGATCGTGATAGAGGTTCGCATCCACAATGTGGTGAGAATGACCCGTTTGCTCGAGGTACCGGTGCGTTGTGCGGCTGAACTTCTTTGGCACCATGGTAGCATGGGTATTCCCATTCGTACTCTTTCTTGGGAATCGCTGAGTAATCCGGTTCCTCCTTCCGGATACGTATGATGCCGTGTCGCATCTTGAAAAGGTACCCGCAAATTCTCTTGACTCGCTCTAAGTGACCCATTCTTGTGGCTGCCCGAAATCTGGACATCGTCATGGTGGCCGTGGCGATATCGACCCTTCCAATTTGGATTGCCCACTGTAGATACCGATGAGTGACTATATATCTTTTGTGTGTCCATATCGATAGCTCTGTTGTGTCAGTCTCTGGGTGGTCTCCTTTGATGAGTGGAGATGAGATTTGTTTGGGCATGTGTCCGAAGATCGTTGGTAGTTGCTGAGTACCTTCCCAATATATTTGCGAGGTGCGTAACTCAGTATCCGTTCTCATACGGAAGAAATCACATCCTAGGTGGAAGCTGATGGCACCGGTTCCCTTTAGTTTGAACTGTGCTCCCCTTCCAATGTCGCGATGATCTTGGATGCGTCTTTCTGACAATAAGGAGTTCGTCTACGTACACAGCGATGTTTTCGTAGTAGCTCCCTTTGTATCTCATCCAGATGTCTGATATCGGCTTTTGAAGGAAAAATCCCATCGAACGAAGAACATCCGCAAAACGTTCATGCATCGTAATCCAGAGTACTTGAGTCGTATAGGGCACGGCTGATGATGAGGTGCATCCTTCCCGATCTCCAAATTCGGGTCCTGCGACAACTACACCTTTCTTTCGTATATGATTCCAAGAGGTACGTTTCCAATGTCTGTTGCCATACCTCACAATCATTTAGTTCTGCGAGGAATGTGAGGAAACGAATCCCCGTAACGAAACCACACTGAAATAGACGGAGTCTACTGGTGG